ATACTTGCCTTAGAGTTTTTTAATTTACATTAAAAATTGAAGGGTTTACGTATATTTTATTATAATATATTTTAAATTAATTTTAATTATAAAATTATAAAATCTTATGCAATTGGAATCTTTAAATTTAAAAAATATGAAATAAAAATACGATATGAGTATAATATAAATTAAAATTTTAATAATTATTATAAATAAATTTAATAAAATTAAAAATATATTTTATATTTTTATATCGATATAAATTATAAAATATAATTTTTATAAAAAATATAATATATATAATTTTTAATATTTTATATAATACTAATATGTAAATCATCGATAATATTATTAAGACGAAATTTTTTTCTATCATGCTACTAAACCCAAGTTGATGAATTTCTAAGAAGAAAGAAACCAAATACATTAAAAATTCTTGGTCAATTTAGGGTTAACTCTAAAGAGGCGGTTGTAAAACTTGTAAGAAATAGGACCTCTCAATTTTTGGCAATATCTATGCATAAGAATGAGATGCTTTTGTGCTACTAAAATATCAACATTTTGAGACGGCGACGTTTTTGTTTGGCTTTGCTGTCAACTTCACTACCATTCTTCTACTTTCCTCTTTGTCATATTTTTTTACAATATATTTTTATATTTTTTTATAAAATAAACTTTGTAATTTCTAATAATTTATTTATTTTTCTTCTTAAAAATTATAAGTCTTGCACATATAAAAGAAAATTATTTATTTATTTTTTAAAATATTTGCTAGTGATGACTAAAGCAAATTAAAGCCTCACACTTTGGGCTGGTTTGTGGGTTTTTTATGGCCTACAATAAGTCCATCTCCTCCATCCCATACATGTTAAGCCTAAAAGGAACTAGGCCTTCTGTTAAGCCAGTTTAGTCTTCCAAGTTTCTACCCAAGTTCCCACTTGCCATCTTTTAAAAATAATATTTAATAAATTGTAAATTTAAATTTTAGTAAATATAATTTTTTTATTTTTAAATTACAATCTTTTTTATATTAGAAATATATAGATAAACATGGAATAATCATGTAATTTATTATAAGATATTGAATTTTTTTAGTTTGAATAAACAAAGACTAAATTTTATGAACTTTAAGATAAAGATGACAATAATTCAATTTAAGTTGAATTTGGTTCCATTTTTTTAGATAATACATATATTATAAATTTTTAAAATTTTATTCGAGTTCGAATTGATTTTCTTTTGAAATCGATTCAATTTAATTAAATTTTACTTGTTTGATCAGTTTAGTTCATTTGTTTTGAAATTTTAATTTTTATATATTATTTTAATAAAATTTTTAATATATTAAAATAAATTTATATATAAAATAATTATTTTTATTTTATAAAAATTTTAAACATATATAAAATTAAGTTCAGTTCAATTTTTAACATCCTAATTTAAATTTTGATGTAAACTTAATATATAAATTTAATATCCAAACATGATTAAATAGAATAAAAAAAATTAAATCCAATCAAATCAAACATTATAATTTTAAATAATTTTTTATTTTCTTAACCCTTAACCTGAGTATCAAAATTTACAAAGGCAACATGAAATTTTATCCAGCAGCAACAAAAATTAAAAACCCATCACATCAATTCACCAAGCAAGCAAAAGAGTAATTGAAGGGCAAATTTGTGTTCATATGTACCCCAAAGCTCACGGGGTTACTCAAGAAATATTAAAGACACTTCCTCCTCTCCATCAGTTTCAGGCGTTCATTCACTAACCAAGCCAGTGTGACTGCAACTTATTAAAGATTTTTGTCACTCCCTCTTCCCTTCCTTACTCATTGGCCCTCTCTCCTACATCCACCCTTTATTACAATTAAATGCGGTCCATTTTCTCAGTTGGCTAGTGATTTTCCCATAGATTTAGTGGACCCAACTAACTTATTTTTAGTACTTGCAACAATAAAGACACTACCCAAAATTTTTCAATATGATTTTTATATGATATTGAAGTCGAATTTTAGAGATAATATCGCTATAGATTTAAAAGAAATTATACACGGATAAAATAATTTAAAAATAGATTAAAAATTTTAAAAATTAAAAAATAAATTTGATAATTCGTATATTTATGTTATTTAAAATATTAATTATTTGTGACATATTTTATATAAAAATTATATGTTATAATTTATGTTGATATGAAAATAAAAAATATATTTTTTATTAAAAATTTAAATTATAATATTTTTATATTTTTTATTTATATTATTTTTATATCAAGATAAGGAGACAAATGTAAAGAGGGAGGAAGTAACCGATGAGCAATGAGACGGGGAAAAAGGCTGAGAAGTGAGAAGGGACAGAGTGGGGTTAAGGTTTGGATTGGTGAAAGGTGAAGTGATAAGAAAAATATCAAAGGTATCACGAGATACTTGGGGACCCTTTTCTTTACCTATCCCTCTCCCTTCTCTTAATTTCTCTGCCACGCTTCAATCCTTTTCTTGACTTCAATTCAAATTATTTCAACCAATATGTCTCCATCCATCTTGCTTCTTCTTTTTTTTTTTTTGACAATGCTATGCTTTGCCATGCTCTCTCCTACTTCCAAGGAATGTGTATTTAGGACATGCTATAATAAATTTATTTTTGGAAATTTGATCTCAAATTTAAGGATGATATTTATGAAGACAAAGTCAAATTCGAGCACATCAATAAGTTTAACACTTTTCGTTTATTAAATTTAAAAAATAATTTTAAATAATATTTCAGTAATTATTAATTAAATAAATAGATTATAAACATAATAAAATTTGTTTATATTTTTAGATATTTTAATCTAAATTTGATTATACCCTAAACTAATTTCTTCCGAATTGGGTGCAAATTACAAAAGATCACCTTTTGGCAAAAATTTAACAGTTTGTAGGCAGGGCTAATATTGACAAATTTCTTACGGTACATTCCAACATTTACAAAATAAAACCCTTTTAAATTATATTTAACAATTTATAATACAATATAGTGATACGATACGAAAATCATACGAGTAAAAAATATGAAAGTGATATAATTTAAAACTTTAATAAAAATCATATATTGGTTTAATAAAATAAAAATATATATTTCAAATTTTTATGTTGAAATGAATTATAATACATAATTTTTATATAAAACATGACATATATACACAAATTATTAATATTTTATATGATATAAATACATAAATCATCAAATATACTTTAAACCTATAATAATAATAATAATGTAGGTTCAACATTTCTTTAATTTCTTTCACCTTTTAAGTGTTTTTTTTTTTTTAATTTGTTTTGTGACAAGGCATCAAACAAGAACTGGTTTTGGCCAAATGCAGAAAAACAGCAAAACATGACATGGAAACACTTGGGACCACGGTTTAAATACACCAACTCCCATTTTGGCTTGTTCTGTTTCACCCATTGTCATTGCCGGTATTAGGGTTTGTTCTTTTACATGATATAAAAATAAAATAAAATAAAGTAGAAAAATGTGATATTTCAACATCTTATTGGTAAATTTTTATTGTATACTATTTGATATGGAACTAAATGCAAAAGCAGTACCAATATGCCTTCGATATATTATTTTTTCTTCATCATTAATTTACTTTTATATTCGTCTATCATATATATTTATCCGATTAAATAAAATATTATACGTATAAATTTTTTAAACTCGTAATCTTAAAATTTTAATTTTGATATTATGCTAATTAATCCAAAGATAATTATATATTTTGATATACAATTTGTTTAAAGAATCGTGAGTTTTAACTTGAATTAGTAAAATGAATAAATTATAATTTTTAAATGTCAATAAAATAAAAATAATTTAATTTAATTAATTTATGTTCTTTTGTTTTGTTTATAATTTATTTTATTTATTACTGTCCTTTTTTATAAGCAAAATAAAAAATGAAAAAATTCGTAAAATATTAAAAGTAATTTAAATTAAGAAAAAATGAGAGAGTGATGTGAATAAAAATTAATATGAATGTTTAAAAAGTAAAAAAAAATGTTATTTTTTATAAAAAAATAAATGACGTAAAAAATTTTAAAATTAAAATTTAATATTTTTTAATCTTTCATATAATCAATGAAGAGATATAAATTTTAATTTGTTGTGATTGTCTCTTTTAAAATAAAGAAAATTAAAAAAAAAAAAAAAAGCTTATCTAATTGTGCAATCTTATGCAGTCGAAAATCGAAAAAGAAGGTACAGCAAGTTGCAAAACGGTTGTTAAGGCCTAATGTCATCATCGGCAAAGCCAAAGAAGGAAGGTTGCTTTTCTTGTTAGTACAGAACAGCTTACACTTTTGATTTTTTTTTTTCAAAAAAAAAAAAAAGTGATGGAATCATTAAATTATTCATAAATGCTCATAAAAATTTACATTTAGAATATATACATAATATACATATGATATACATTAAATTTAATTATTAATTAAAATAAAATTCAAAATATACATAACAATAATTATTTAGATTAATTTAATTATTTTTAAGATTAACATTTAACAAGTTAAAATTTTAAACTTTAATTTTAAAATATTTTTATTTTAAATTATGATTTTTTCATAAAAAATTATTTAAACTAAAAATACAAAGAGATCTTATATTCTATTCAATAATTATTATTTATTACAAGGACAATATGAATTCAAGTAAATTTTGTCATTTTGTAATTGATGAAAATACAAACTTACTCATAAATGTTATAACGTTTTTTTATTATTATTATCATAAAAGAACAAAAAAAGAATAAAAAAAATTATTTATTCTACCATTTTGTGCATGTAGTAAGTAGCAACATGAACAAAATGGGACACCAAAATATGGTTTTATTTCAGCTTATATATTTTTATATTTTCTATCATAAAAAAAAAAAAAAAAAAGAGAAAGAAACAAAGAATCAGATAGAGCCAACCGTGTAGTAGTGATTAGAGTAACGTTCTCTTTGCTGATTCAATCAAAAAGCTTTGCCCTTTTCCCTTTGCAACGTCTTCTTCACTCTTTCTCTCTCTCAAAGCTGCTTTTTTTTCTCATTATTTTAAGTCCATAACCGCTCAACAAAAAACAAACACCCAGTTTCTGCTTCTCTTATTTTCCCAAGAAAGGAAAAAAAAAAAAAAAAAACAAGTTTTTCTTATAACCAAGGTCCAAGAGTTGTCCAAGAACCATGCTTTCAAGAGTGAATGGCGGTGTGGTTTGGATGGACGATAAAGAAGATGAAGACTCTGCTTCATGGAACAGAACCACCAACAACAACAACAACAATGATAACAACAGTGTTATAATGGAGAACAAAGAAGAGATGGGTTCTTTATCTACATTCAAATCCATGTTGGAAGAAGAATGGTATGTTGCAAACAACAGTATTTCAAGCCATCAAAACATTAGAGACCTTTCATTTTCACCAAATCTTGGTGACCATCAGGATAACTTTTTGCTGCATCATCATCATCATCATCCAGTGGATTCTTCCTCTTCCTGTTCACCATCTTCCTCTGTTTTCAACAATCTCGACCCATCTCAGGTACAGTTCTTTTTGCAACCAAAACCAACTGTATCTTCACTCCTTAATGTTGTTTCGAATAACCCTTTAGACCATGGGTTTGATTTGAGTGAAATTGGGTTCCTTGACAACCAAGCAACAAATGCTAGTACTTTACTGAACAGGGGAAATGCTGGGGTTTTGGGTAGTTTCACTGATTTAAGCCATGGTAATCAGATGGACACAGCTAATTTGTGTCCTGAGACTCAATTTTCGAGTTCTGGGATGGTTCAGCTACCAGAAAATGGTGCCGGGTTTGCTGGTTTTCAAGGGTTTGATGAAAACCCTGGCAATGCTCTGTTTTTAAATAGGTCTAAGTTGTTGAGGCCACTGGAAAGCTTTCCTTCAGTCGGAGCACAACCAACTCTGTTCCAGAAAAGAGCAGCTTTGAGGAAGAACTTAGCTGATAATGGAGGGAATTTCGGGGTGTTAGGTGGAGGAAAGCTAAATGCTTTGAGTGGAATTGAGGGAGATAAAGGGAAGAAAGAAATGGCTGAAGAAAATGAGAAGAGGAAAATTAACAATAGAGATGATCTAGAAGATGTGAGCATTGATGGGTCTGCTTTGAACTATGATTCAGATGAGTTTACTGACAATAACAAGGTGGAGGAAGCTATTAAAAATGGTGGGAATACCTCAAATGCAAACAGTACTGTTACTGGAGGAGATCAAAAGGGTAAAAAGAAAGGGCTTCCTGCAAAAAATTTGATGGCTGAGAGGCGCCGTAGGAAGAAACTCAATGATAGGCTTTACATGTTGCGGTCTGTTGTTCCAAAGATTAGCAAAGTAAGAATTTTCTTCACGTTTCCCCCTTTTTTTTTTCTTTTTTTTTATCTCGTGAATGCAAGTAATCAAGCTTTTTTTTTTAATTTACTTTGTTTTAATGGTGGTGGTTTTTGTACTTTGTGAATGAGTGGCATCTTTTGTTTTTACGTGTTCCCAAAATGCTTTGAGAAAGTTGCATTAATTTCTCTCACATGGAGTCTGGTTGATTGTTTTAAATTCACCATAATTCTTTGGACCACATTGTTTTCTATAAAACTTGATGATTCCAGTATCTTTTATCATGTCTTTTACTTTTGTATTGCAGCAGCAAAATAGTTACATCATAACTTCAGATTCATTTTCTAGGCTGCATTTAGTTCACTGCTCTAGTCTCTGATCACCTTTCTACCCTTTTCCATTACACAACTTGTTCTTTCACTTCTTCCCACCTATTTATCATTATTCTCCTTGCTTTTTACATTCTTATGCATTCGAATTTTTCGAGGTGATTCGTAGTTTTCATCAGTGATTTGGTGGTTTAAATTCATGATAAAGATGTTGAAAATATATGAAGTTTCTGCAGTTCATTTATTGTTATAAAGTACCAAAAAGAAACCTACTAAAGCTGGGAATTTAATGGAAGGTAATTATAAACATATGATTCAATGAAGCTGTAGAATCTATGATAATTGAGGTTTCTGTCAAGGAAATTTTTGGTGGTGGACTCACCAAACTGTGCTTTAGATTGAATGATGAGACTTTTCTTAGGATCAGAATGCTAGGTACCTTTGCTTTGTATCAATGTAACTTAAAGTTTTAAACATCAAAGTAGTATGGGAACCTTTTCAAATAGATTGCTGGACTTTTTCTGTGGGTGATTTTTTTTTTTTTTGGTGTATTTTATTTAATTGACTTAACGATTTAATATGTAATCCAATCCAACTTGAACATACTCATGTTACTTTTACTGGCAAAGGAAGGCTTTTGGAGGTTCATATTCTCTCAGTTTTGCTTCTTTGAAATAGTATGATTTACATTATCCTTCTATTAATAGATGGATAGAGCTTCTATTCTTGGGGATGCAATTGAGTACCTGAAGGAACTTCTGCAAAGGATCAATGACCTCCATAATGAATTGGAGTCAAACCCTCCTAGCTCTTCTCTGACACCTACGACCAGCTTCCATCCTTTGACGCCCACTCCGGCCACCTTGCCCAGTCGGATCAAGGATGAACTTTGCCCCAGCTCATTACCGAGCCCAAATGGTCAGCCAGCAAGGGTAAACTTGTGTCTTTATGCCGAAAAGTTACTTTCACCTCTCTCTTATCATATGTCATTAATTCATTCTTGATTCCAGCATGAATAATATTGTGATACTAACTGATTTAGCTATTGTGATTATAGAACTTTGAATGATTTGGTTTTAATTTGATGTAAATATAGGTTGAAGTAAGGCAGAGAGAAGGAAAAGCTGTAAACATCCATATGTTTTGTGGCCGCAGACCAGGTCTTTTGCTCTCCACAATGAGGGCTTTGGACAACCTTGGGCTTGACATCCAGCAAGCAGTCATTAGCTGTTTCAATGGTTTTGCCATGGATATCTTTCGAGCTGAGGTACGATTTCTGACAATCATAAAGTTCTCATTTGCTTTAAAGCATCATTGAGTCTTGAAAAACCACCTGCTTCCCACAAAGCAACAAATGAAAAGCCTGAACCATGAATTTTGATTTCATTGATGTGTTTCTATTTTCAGCAATGCAAGGAAGGGCAGGACATCCATCCTGAGCAGATCAAAGCTGTACTTTTGGATTCAGCTGGCTTCCACAACATGATATAGGTTTCTTCAGCAAGTATATCTGATTCTGAACAACTATAAACAGGCTTTTAGCTCCAAGAGGCAAGACGAAACAAGCAATTGCATTTTGTTTTACGTAGCGAGCAACATGAGAGCTTTAAATTAGTTTGAACTGGTGGGAAACTCGCCATCCTCAAGTCTTTTTTCTCAGCTTTTTACTAGACTTTCGCTCTTTAAAATCTCGTTGTTGTTTGGATTTCTGGTCATTTTAATGAGGATAAAGCCTCTCATTACTGCTGCATTTGGAATATAATTTGAACAAACTCAGTTCCCTCCCCTATAACCAGCTGGTTGATCGTGCTGGTGGAAAAATCTAAGCATTTCTTTCTCCTAGCTTTCCTGTGGTACCATGCACGAACAGAGCTACTTTAAACTCAAAATTTACCTGTCATTTGGTCAAAAAGACTTTTTAACTTTTGAGTAAGAGTGTCACCCTTTTGCTTTTGCCATGCCAAAAACATGTGCTCGTCCTTGATCGTGGATAAGCTCTCAAAATAATTACTGCGTTCCCATTTAAGTAGGGCTATCATGACCCATGGATGGGACCCTGATGAAATTTGCTCCGACCCGTGGGCGTAGCACTTTCCCCCACTTGGGTCTCACGGCGGAGATATTAGTCAAGATCATGAAAAGAATATTTTTCAGACTTTGACATATTATTCCAAGCAAAACGGAAGCAAAGAGCCGAAGAGAGATATGGTAATTTGTAACTAAAAATTCAAACCCCAACCCCACAAGTCGGTCGCCACCATTGGACCGTAATTCCAGGGTCAAAGTCGTAGTCTAAAATCGATTGCCACTCAGGCATTTACCAAGCTGCTCCATGCAATGGATATGGCTCAGCAAATACAGTTGCGTTGGCAATCACATTATCTGATATTAGACCAACTCTCTCCTTCCCTCCGGTACGATCTGCTAATGAACCGTAAAGCCAACTACTCCTTTTGAGGCAAGAAAGGACAACTGGCCCCTCAGATTCCTGCTTCCCTGAATTATCAAAGATGGAATATCCCAACAAGCCTCCAAAATTTTTACAAAAAATAAAGGAAAAGGATCTCGAGCTTAGATTAGCAAATTCCAGCAGATTCACCAATCATCATCACAAGGGAAGATCTAACAAACATGAAACTAATTTAACTTCCCATTATTTGCTCAGAATTAAGAATGCCTCTAAACTAAGCAGAAAATTTCTGCCTACTTGAGCTATTTGCAAAGACCTTGAAGAAATGCACCCAAATTTTGGTGATTTAACAGTGTACTAGATTAAAAAAACATAAAAAGCAACAAAATCAATGATATGCTTACTTGAAAAGAAATTAGATGGTGTACTAACTTACTTACATTCACAGGTTGAAAAAGGGGGTAAAACATCTCTGTACAAGGGGGGGAGAGGGTGGTTGCAAAAGCAAGGCTGGTGCAGCCACGCTTGAAATTCAAATTCGGGTATACATATTTATATATATAAAGGACACCATTCAATATTACCTCCAAAACATTTCCAAAATTGGATTATACCATTAACGACATCTATGTCTGATTCTGATTTCTGAGACAAACTTGCTGCCAATATAGACTCACAAGTCACTTTCAACTCAAACTAATTAAAGTTCTAACCAAATGGAATGTCACTATTGCACTCCTCATGCCTCCACCAAAAAGCTGAAACAAGAATAAAGGAAAATGTTACTTGCAATGTAATAACAAGGTAAATAAAGGCAAAAACAAAGGGAGGCCGCATCTAAGGAGAGCACAACACGGTCAATTCAAATTGATCGTTTTTCCGCATCCTATTCAAAACAAGATACAATACTTAGATGCAATCATCAGGAGAGTACACACCCAGAATATTACCCAGAACCATTATGGTGAAGCCTAACAATTTCCTGCACTAAATGCTGATGGACACCTCACTTCTTCTGCATCTAGGCCTTCTGCAGAAACTGGATTGTCCTCACCCCTTGAACTCAACGATCCTGGCTTCATCTTCTGGACCTCCTCCCTAGTGTAGATACCAATCTTGCGAACCATGGCACAAAATTCCCTAATTCACGAGCAATAATTGAATAATGATGTCAACCATCAAATATATGAAATGGGTAAAAATGTATTGGAATGAAGGCAAGAATCCTTACTGCCAGGGATCATCTCCCACAAGCATCATATCACCCTCATCATCAGTATAAACAACAAGCCAATTCTTTTTAGGGGCCATTAATTCGCCTCCAAATTCAAATAATTGATCCAATTCGGCAATCAATTCACCATAGTTGTTGAACTTCGTAAGGTCCACAGACCTAACAAGAGCAATCCCCTGCTTGTGAACCTGAAAATAAAATATAAATTGAGCAAGTCCTTTAACAGATTTCGTAACAAGAAGTTTAAACCATCAAAAGAGTGAAAGAGAACCTTAGTACAACTCCTAGTTGAGGCATTAGAAGGTTTGCTTGGAACCTCTCTTGTTTGGGGCTGACCCAGCCGAAATATTTTGTCCTGCTCATTACAAGCAGAAAGATCCTCTGCCAAATGTGAGACCTTTGACTTTTCAGACCTTCGATCAGATTCAAATGTATGAACTTGATGTGAAGGAGCTTGCGGACGACCCACACGCTTGTTCAATGCATTAATATTAGAGACTGCTGGCTCTGATGCAACGGAATTACTTATGAGAGGAATACCGAAGAGCTTGCAGTTTCCTTCTCTAGATTTTCCATTCTCATGCTCTTGAACCAATGATGTTTTGGGCATTAAATCTCTTGAGTGGACAAGGTTCTCATAATGGGATGAAGTTGGGGGAGGCATCAACCAGTTTCCATGTGAATGCTCGATCCTACGACCTTTAAGCATAGGATAGTCACCAAAACCACTAAATCTACCATTTCCTCGCACTTGATAAGGCACATCAGAACCTTGCAAAGGAGGCTTAGCATTTTTCTTATCCAACTTGAGTGAGAGACCAGACGGCAAGAGGGACCAACAGCCAATCCCCCCTTCTTGATCTGGTAACTGTTTTCTCATTGGATTACCAGCTACTGAAGTTTGATCAGCCATTCCAGCATTCGACCCAAAACCAGAGAGCAAATCCGTGCATGTTGGTTCATGCCTCCCAGAGGAAACCCAATTCTCTGACCCAAATCTTCTTGCAGCAGAAACCACATCAATCTTCTCATCATCTACAGGAGGCCACATCACTGACTTTTCAGCAGTGTCAGACTCGTTACTCTCGGCAAAGTTGCCTCTCAAGGTCGAGAATTCTTGACCTTGCAAGACCCTTGAAAACCCAATAGCCGGTGAAGGGTCTACAGTAACTTTGGATGAACCTAAAAAATGAACTTCAAGTTCTTACCAGATGAGCTGTTACATGAAAATATATTATAAACCAATTACACAAAACCTACCTTCCCTAGGAAGCACGGAGGAATCGGGGGATGAAGGTACTGCATTAGATCGAGGCCTTTTTGGCCTGGGCAGTGGAAGGGGATTCAGGGCAGAAGGAGCCAAAGCAGGTTCAATTTTCCAAGGAGAAACTCTCTCGGGACGAGGCATGGTGGTAGTCTCATCCCATCGCACCTATAAGATATATTAGAACATTGTTACAGAATCCCCATAACTAGAAGCATTCTACCATTTTTTTCAGTATTCTAAACAACTATCAAACATTGGTCAAATTAAATAAAATATACCTTGAGGCATCTCCATTTGGAATCCTGCCACCTTTGTGGATCAGCATCTTCAATTCCAACTATTGTTCCAGTAAACCTGCAATACAATCAATTGAGAAACATAATATCAGCTTGCTCCATATCATGTTGGAAATTCTTACCCTTATGCGGTAACATACTAGAAACATCATAAATAATTTTTTAGATGTAGCCATACAAGGATACCTGTCATCACAGAAAAAGGAAGACACAAGCCATACCTCTGTTCGGGAGCTTCTTCGCCTTCAAATCTCATTTTGAACCTCATTCCTATCGAATAATTGTTCTTCACCGACTCCATGTACTGATCAAATGGAACAATAAACTCAGCTGGGCTTGTCCTGAAACAGAAAATGGACATGCATAAATACAAGATATTGCAATTAATTCCTCTACAAAACAGCAATATCACAGTTGAAATTTAATCACCCAGTAATCTATTTTGAGAGCTTTTAACATATCATGCCAGGAAAAATGACACAGCATGTAAAAATGGTAGCTTGGTCTACAAACCTAGGTTTGTAATACACAGTGAATATGGTTTGTGTTGTGCAAGCATGCCATGCTGTTGCAAGCACACCAAGATGCATGCTATGACTTGATATTACTGATGAAGGAACAATGCCCTGCTGCCTCATCGCACGGCGTACACCAACACGTAGTTCTCCATTCTCACCTCTGGAAAATACACATCATTTCCATGTATAAACTCTTAAGCTCAAACAAAGAATTCAATCCTAAAACACCAAATTTCATAGCACGTGCGGAAGCAGGCAAACCTTAAAAATATAAACGCATCCCCTGCAACAAGCCTCTTGGAGCTAACAAAAACACTCCAACCACTTTGAAGCAAGTGTCTTCGTGGTTGACCTGGTATTCCCATCAACATTTGAATCAAATTGTAAACTAAACGGCTCTAATTGTAACTGATTAACCAGAACAGAACCAAGTAATAAAAAATACATAAACCCGAACTTGTAATAACATTTCATAACCATACTCCTTAAATTCCATTGTGCATTATGTATAAGCACAAAAAACCAATTAGGTTTGAAAGCATTACCCCGAAAGATATGCCGGAATCGCCACTCATTTCCATGCAAATCCTTAGCAACCAACTCCTGGCTTGGAGGTTGCCTTGACATGTCCTGTTATAGAACAAGCCCAAATGAACCACAACCTAATAATCATAAAGGAAAAAAAGGAAACTAGACATCTGCGGCAGATAGACACAAACCAATGGTGGAAGACATTCATCCGCATGCCGCCTGAGCACTGAAAACCCACCATGGGTGCTTGTATCTGAGGCAGTCAGGGTCTTGCAAAAGGAATGCACGAGGAACCGTGGTGGTTGAGGAGTGGGAGGCTCCTTGCCCACAGTGTTCTCATCCTGCTAGAAACATTAGATAAAGCAAAGGACAAACCATCAGAAACTCAACTCTTCATCAACTCCTAATTCAAAGTAACAAAATACAAAAATAATAAGATCAACGCTTACAATAGGCTCAGGAAGTAAAGTCACTTGTGCAAAAACCTCATCGGTGTCCGGTTCAGCCTATAGAATTAAGAGCAAAAAGTTATTCCTCCCATAAGTAAAACAAAAGCCAAGAAAATTAAATATATATATATACAAATCGCAGCAAAAGAGGTGCAAGGTACCTTTAATTGAACGTTAATCACACGACAAAGGATCTTCGATGGAAGATTATACAGTGGCATCTGCTGGTCTGCTACCTGATTAGTAGACGCCTCAACCTGATTCACCAGAAACTAATAAGCAAATAAAAAACAAACCCCATAATAGAAACAGAGAAACAAAAACAAAACAAGGAAAAGCAAGGGAAGCTAAATCCCACTTCAAATTACATTTCATTCTCCAATAAAGAAAATTTAAAATTTAAACGAAAGTAGCACGGGTTCCCTCAACAAGAAACAAAAACAAAACAAGAGGAAAAAGAATAGAAGAGAAAAGAAGGTAGAAGCGTAACCTGTTCTATGTGACCTTGAGGAAAGTAGAACACGCGCTCTCCTTCGCGAGGGACCGTCACTAGAGGTCCAGCACATGCATGCCATAGCTCCGTATACAGCGCCGTTTCGGGGTCTATATTTTTCACACATAAAACGAAACCAAAATAAACAATAAAACGGCAAGCAAACAAACAAGAAAAAGGAAAGCCAGAAACCAAAGGAGGGAGGAATCTTACCTCTGACGACAGCTGTACAAGTGGAATGACCATTTTGCCCTTCCATGGCGCTCCTAGCATCATTTGGTTCACTATAACCAGAAGAAAAACTCTCTCCTCTTCCGTTAACACAGTTTCCTTTTATTGATACCTCCGAAGTAGTCATTTCTTGTAAATCTTTTTAGCTCAGATCTCTCATCTGATACTGTCAAATTCCTCACTCGAAACTGAAAACCCAAACTCAAATTCAACTCAATCTACCATAACCACCGTCGCTAAAACCCAAGCTCTCCTCTTCAACTCAGAAAGGAAGCCTATATTTCTCTCAATCCACCACCAATCTTCTCGATTTATGCATCAATCAATCAATTATTCTCCCTTTCCACTTCCAATCTCTAGTCGCTTTCACTTCCCCTTCCTTCTGCATATAACACCTAAGCCTCTATCTTCTTCTCTTTCACCTATCGCAATTGTAGCAGATCAAATATCAGAGCCCGTACAAAACTCCGAAAAAAGCTTTCTCTCTCTCTATCTTTCTCTGTGGTTTCTTCTTTTTCTCGTCTCTGTCCGTCTCTGTGTGTGTCTGATGAGGGGTCGAGAAACTTAACCAAGGGTGGGTCAAAATCGTGGAGGTAGTGGCAATCATTCCAACCGCGGTCAATTTCTAACCCACTGAACAACCGGCATTAATCTGTCCGAGTGCCTTTATGATACCGGCTACACCCGGTAACTTCTCATGGGGAAGGGAGGAGTAAAGGAAAGGGGACCAGACAGGGTAGTCTATAAATTTAAAATAAAAAATAAAATTTATAAAATTCCTGGGTTATTAATAAAGGCCGCTTCCCCTTCCCGCGTTTGGATTTAACGACGTTTGCTCTGTTTCCTTTGAGATCTAATGTTTTAAATAATACGAAAAAAATTAAATATGACTCTGGAAAAAAATAAATAAATGTTTTTTATATTTAATGAATCAATATAAATTATAATTAAATAATTTTTATATTTGATATGTGTTTATAATTTCTAATAAATACGAAATTAGTATAATGAAATATATTGTCGATAGTTCTATTCAAAGGTAGGTTATTTCTTCAAATTTGAAGATTTATCTAAATTTTGAAAAAAATTTGAATAAAAAATTAAAATTTATAAAAAAAATTTGAACATAATTTTGAATTTCATTTAAATTTTGAATATGATCTTAAATAAAATATTTAAAATTCAAATCTAAATTTACATATCTAAATTTTTTTATTTTTATATATAAGTTAATTATATATAAATTAATTTTATATATAATTTTAAAATAAAAATTATTTTTATTTTTATAAACTTAAACTTAAGTTTTTTATATAAATTTTATTTTAATTTTTATATATAATTTTTAATTTTAATTTTTATATATTTAATTTAATTTAATTATTTTTTATTATATAAATTAAATTTAATGAATAAATTTTAATTTTAATTTTAATTTTAATTTAAATTGAAATTAAAAATTTTAAAAATTTTAAAAATTTTAAAAATTTTAAATTTTTAATCAAATTAAATTGAATAAATTTATAAATTATTAATATTAAATATAAATCAGGCCGAAACGGCTCTGATTGCCGACTCATTGGATTGGCATGTAACGCCGTTCGTTCTGACGTTAGTGGGAAAGTTGTTCTCTGTTTTTGGGGAAGTGGTTTTGTCATGCTATTAACGGGCAGGTTTGGATGGAAGTGAAGAGAAAACGAGAGAGAGAGAGAGAATCGACGAGGGAAAGCTAGCGGTTGGGAGTGCGGAGTTAACACACCGTGCAGCGCATGTTACCTACTGTTGCTTTCTTTATTACTATTTTTCCTCTGTGCCCGCTATGCCTATCCCTACCGTGTACCTGATGTGGTAGGGTACCACAACCCACAAATATCTCGCCCACTAAAATATAACATATCGTATCGCATATCGTTTTTATCTCGTCGCGTATCATTACTTCATTATCCACCTTTTTGTTCTCCTTCTTTCTCGCAGAATCGTTATTTGTTTTTATTAACTGCTTTTAATAATTAGGGACATGTTAACCATGCAAATCATTGACTAAGAAGATATTTTATAAGTAAATATATAATTAATGTATAATAATTGTTTTAAAAAAAATATTTTAATTAATCTTAAATAGCATCCACTAATCAAATTCTAAAAATTAATAACTTTTATTTTACTATATTTTAAATTTAATTGTAAATTAAAATAAAATTTAAATCTTAAATTTATAAATATCATTTTTAAAAATAATTATATAAATTAATTAAATTAAATATCAAATTCAATTTAACCTTTTGCACAAGTTGTATAATTCTTACCATATTCAAGGCATTGTCGAATTTAGGTAAACAATTCACCCCTACAAGAACACGTGGGAAAAGAATTATTTCAAATAATTAATGTTTGGCCATGCTTTGAAATTCTTTCCACAAAATTTATTAAAATATAATTTTCCCCTTTTTACATTTAATGTAATAGTTGACTTGAATAACGTTATTTTTAATGTCTTGAATGAAAATTTTATTTGAAATCATATTTTTTTAAGTTACATTTATTAAAATTTTTTTAAGTAAAGTTCATAATTAAAATAATTGTCATTATTTTTCTTGCTAAAATTAAAATTCAAATCAATTTTCTTTTTTTATTTTCGTATTTTATATATGTAAATAAAATAATAAAAATAAAAAATAATCATTTACTTGAATTTTTTATTTTCATTTATTTAAAAAATTATTGTAAAAAACATAACATGATCCACCCAAGCCATAAAGGTTAGTTAATTAAATTATTATTTAATTAAATATTTTTATAATAATACAATAATTAATAATTAATAAGGAAGAAAAAGGCGAGAAATTGAAGGGCAAATTACGACTCACGTGTAAGCGCAAAGTGACAAAGGGAAGAGCAGGAGAAGTAAGTCAATGGGACCCACGTGTCTTGTCTATTAGCAGTTGTTCAATGTCCAAAACCAACAACCGGAGGAATCTTTGTCCGGAAAATAAAAATTAAAAAAAAATTATAATTTCTAAAACCAAATTTTAATTTACTAAAGTAAAACAATATTTTTCCTCGTATTTTTACTTACTTTATTTTAATATAGGAGTATTTATATATAATAGTCAACGGTTAATTAATTTAGGGGTAAAGATAATGTATTTTTTATGTTTGGGTTTAAATCCATTCAAAAAATATATAAATAATTTTTTGTGAATTTATTAAATTTTTTATAAATATTTTAATGAATTTATTAAAATTTTAATTTCAAATCAAATAAATATTATCTTTCAAGTGATTGATTGGATCAATAAAATTAAACTCTAAATTCACTATATAACATCAAATTTGACATTAACAACTTCTCATTTTTAAATAAGATATAAAGTACAATAACAACAAATTAAATTTTTAAAGTCAATAATACGAAAGACTAATAGAAAATCATATTAGATTATAATTTTAAATTTTTTTACATCATTTATTTTTATTTACAATAACTTTTTTATTTATTTTCTTAATCTTCAATATATTTTTTATTACTTAATAATCTATTTTTAAAAATTTTGTTTTTTTTTAATTAATGCACAAATATATTTACATTTTACATTATCAAATTATCTCGAATGATTTTTTTTTATTTTTTCATAATTTGAACTATCTTTAATTTTTAACTTAATTGATAGTGTGATAACACTATCAATTTCAAGCCAAGATAAAATAAAGAAAGTTGCAATAAATTAACTTGCTAACATAAAATATAATTAAACCATTATAAAAGACAAGATAAAAATAAGGTATAGGCTGTTTAAAAAAAAAAAAAAGTAAATTCTCATTCTATGCTATATAAAAAAAAAAGGAAAAGTAATATTTTTTATTTTTTAAAAATAAAATAAAATAAAATATTACTAAAATATTTTTGGAGGGCCGGCCTGGCTTCATGCCTAGGAGCACGACAGATTGACATGTGTGATAACTTGGAATTTAAAGGCATTGAACGTGCTTGTGCTCGGGGAAAAAAATAAAAAGAAGTGAAAAAAATGTGCGTAATTTCTAGGATGCCATTTCCGGGTAAACAAACAAAAAATGAAGCTGAACATGTAAGAAAATCGTGTACTATTATTTCTCCGCTATGACTTTTGCTAAAGGAAATTATTATTTTTTTTTATCAATTTCTATTTTTATATTATGTAAAAATTTTGTTTAATATTATGATAATCTAACTAATTACATTTATATATGATACATAATATGATATAAATATAATAAAATTTTAATAATTTAATAATAATTATATATAAATTTAATAAAATTAAAAATATATATTTTATATTTATATATAAATTACAATTCATAATTTTTATATAAAATAAAATATAAATATATAAATTTTCATATTTTACATAATAAAATATAAAACTATAAATAAAATAAAACTGAAAGAAAGCAGTGGTAAACAGCAATAAAATTGTGAGTGGAAGAGGGTGAAACATCAGCGTCTGTGGAGATGTGTATCTGGCAGCGGTGGCAGAGCAGGCAGACAGACCCAGTATTAGCAGGGAAAATCAAATACTTTTATTTACAAAAATTTAATTTGATAGATTAAAATTGAATTTTGTATAATTTTATAAAAATTTAAAATCTAATTAAAATTCGAATCAAATTTTTATTTAATTTAAATAGAATCTAATTAAATTTTATCTATTTAATTCGATTTGTTTTATTAATTTTTAATTTTTTAAATTTTATATATTATTTTAATATAAAATTTCAATATATGTAATTAAATTTTAAAATAAAATTAATAATTTTATTTTATAAAATTTAAAATATATATAAATTAAAAATATATATTCAATTCAATTTAATTTTTTTATTTTTTATCTCTCAATTTAAAATTTAATTCGAATTTAATATACATTTAATATTTAAAATTAATTTAATTATACTAAATTCTATAATTTTAAATCGATTTTTATTCTCACTCCTACAACGATCTATAAATCTAACCTAAATACTCGTGCAAATCTATTATATGTTCTGGTTTTGAAATAAATAATCTTATTTTTTAAAACTTTTAAATATACAAATAAATAAACAATGCATTGAAAAAAAATAAATAAATAATAATATAGTGAATAATGGAGAGACGAAGAGGACTAAGATGTGCGCTCTTCTTGAAGAAGTGGGTCCCACGAATGTCTCCGATTTAGTTTACATTAATCGGGGATGATGGGCCCACCTTTCTTCGGCATCCCCTCTCCTTAGCATCTTGAACAATCCCTTAATCCATCCTCTCTCGGGTCTTTGATTCCCAACCCACAGACCAAATCCCCCTCTCTCCTTTCCCAAGTCCCAGCAAATTATTTATTTTTTTATCCATATATGTTTGAACAAATTAATTTGATATAATAATTTCAAATTTTTGCATTTGGTGTTTGATTTTTTTAATGAAAATTTTAATCAAATAATTTTTTTAATTTTTTTTAGACGAGTAAATACAAATTTTATTCACAATTTGGCACATTAATTTATCTTAAAAAAACAAATATGAATGAATAATTTGTTAATTTATATTAAGAAAAATTATAAAATAGTTATTTTTTGTTAAAAGGATTTTTTTATTGAATATTCTAATGATACTTTTTAAAATTAGTTAAATTATTTTTATATTAAATGCAAATTTGATATTTTATAAATTTAAATACATTAAAAGATATATTACTAAATATAAAAATTCTCTTAAATCTGGAAAAAAACTTAGGTGAATTTTTTT